TTTTGTCTTTTTGAGACAGGGTCTCCCTGTAGCCCCAGCTGTCCTGGACCTCACTATGTAGACCAGGCTGGCCTTGAACTCACAGAGATCCGCCTGCCTCTGCCTCCCAAGTGCTGGGACTACAGGCGTGCGCCACCACGCCCGGCTCCGGCTCCTTAATTTCTAATATGGTACACATCAGTACATTGAATCTATCTAAAAAAAATTTGTTGGGAGTTTCACTTCGAGAGCTTTATACACAGGAGTCCTGAAAGCAGAGAGTTCTGAGGATGTCAGCAGTCTAGCCTGTTCTCCAGGGGCTTTCTACTGTCCACCCCAAGACCACAGAGGTGAAAAAGCATGCCCCTCTCAGTTTTCCTCTACCTGATCCTGAGGGACCACACTCTCAAGCCTGGGAGTCTATGGCTGAGCTCTTAGGTAGCAGAGCTCTTCTCAACTCTACACTGGTCCTGTAGCCATGAGGCCCCAGGTCCACCCAGCACTCAGTGTCCTACTGTCTTTGGGCTAGGCCTCATGCCATTCCTTTGATGTAGAGCAGAGAGTGGGCTGATACCCCAGAGCCTCTCTTGAGCCTGCTCTCTGGACCGGGTGGGCACTTCTCCTAGGATGCCAGCTGCTCTCAGCCAATACAATAGAACACAATACAACTCTCAGTGCCAGGCAGTGTCTGCTGGAGAGCCCCAAAGAATGAAATAAATACCAATTTCACTGGCAAGGGCCTAGAGCAGAGGCAGGAGGCCCAGCAAGGCTGACAAATGAGGGAAGGGGGACAGCCAGTTGTAAACTTTCAGCATAGCCATGGGTCCACAGGTTTTGGATTCCTCAGGCTGCCACATCCCAGAAGGTGGGAGACCATTCAAAATAGCAGCAGCACATGCTCTATAGCCTATCAAACAGAAGGAAGGGCATAGGGCTGGAAAGGGGGCTGTGCCACAGAGAGCAGGAAGCCAGGGGGGCACTTGGATGGAGCCTGTGGCATCTTATTTCTTAGGCTGGGTGACAAGTATAATGTTAGACTGTCTATCCCCACAGCATCCTGCCACAGGATTTTACCATATAACCATGGCTGGCCCAAAACTCTCTATATATCAGGCTGGCCTTGAACTCACAGAAATCCACCTGCTTCTGCCTCCCAAATGTAGTGTGTAAGCCACTAAGCCTGGCTTGTCTACCCTTTTCGACATGCTTAAAATGTCTCCTACTTTATTTATTTATTTATTTTTTTAAGTTGTGGAGCAGGATGCTAACAGGGGAACAGAGGAATCTAGTGGGGCTATATGGTGGTGACCAGCTCAGTTATCACCATTAGGGCAGCCTGATGGTGGACAAAAATCCCCAGAAAACTATAAACCACAAAACCTAGGACTGGGCACTACTGTGCCCCCAGACCCTTGGTGTTGCCACATGTAAAAATGGGTGAGCACTGAAGTCTTGCCAGTCTGGATAAATGGGGAACCCTGGACTCTGCCCTGTGTGGGCATGGGCCTATCAACACAATGGTATCCCCACCTGCCCGTCTGACCCTCCATTCTCTAAGCTCAACCTACACTGGCCTTCAACCTTCCTTATGGGTTGGCAGCTTGGAGCTCCAGGTGGGCCAAGGCAAGCGTGCCTCCATCCCTGTCTTGGCGGGAAGCTGCATCAGGCCAGAGGCAGCCAGAATACCAATGCCCGCTTTAGCTTCCTCTCCCTCGATCTTGATTTTATACCAGCTACCTCCCCAGCAGTCTCTCTTCCTCCTGAATTTTTATCGGGGAGGGGGTGCTGGTTACTTTCTCTTGTTAGGGATGCTGAAGGTTTAACTCAGGACCCTCAACATGCTGCTGAGTTGCACCCCCAGACTTGCATGTGGTTTCTTAAAGGGCCCAGAGAGATGAGTACTTCAGGGAACAGAGTCCTTTCTGGGATGGGTCTACTTGTCTATTCTCTTGTCATGTGGGGGTTAGAATAAGTAAGACTCTCCCACTTGATGATTCTGGAAGGCAGCTGAGGAGGGAAAATGAGATCAGAGCATTTCCTCTGTGACTCAGCAATTTCTGGGTTAGGAAATACTGAAATGGGGAGTGTAAAGCTGTCACCTGGTACCACTGGTCATGGCCCAGAGGTTCCTCAAAACACTCATCTCTACATATGCCCCAAAGGGCTGAGAGTAGGAGGAAAGGGAAGGGGTGGCTTGAGGGGCTCCAGGTGTCTGCTCTTTGTCCCAGTCCTTTACTCCAGTCTCCTTCAGACAAGCATATGCTGAGTCTGGAGGCCACTTCCCATCCTGCCCCTGCCCCTCCTTGGAGAGACACCTCTACAAGTGGTCACTGAGAAAATGTCCCAGTTCCCATCATATATCTCTGGTGGAAGGAAACGATACCCTGCCTCACCTTGTTCCCTTCCCTAGGATACTCCAGGGCTCCAGGATGCCTGGCCTATACAACTTGGAGCAGTGTGGACAACTGCCCAGCCTCCCCTGGCTGCAGGGGTTAAGCCAGACTTCATCCTGACTCCACTCTACCGATTCCAAGGAGCAAGGCCTGCCGGGTCTCTGGGCACACGGGCCTGGTCAGGGAAGGTACCTCCAGCAGCTGGGCTGAATGGGGAGCTAGGAGGCACCCAAGGGAGCCTATGGAGTAAACACAGACACTTGGAAGGTGGCCTGGGTAAGGGCCCCTCAGGGTACATCCTAGTCCTGTTGCCATGCTCTGAGGAAAAGGAGACCCAGGGCTCCAGGGCTCCTCTAGCTCACAGCTCAAGTGTGAAGAACACCAAACTGTTCTGACTTAGGGGCAAGCTCTCTCTTCTTTCTCTTTCCATAGCCTTCTAGACCCAGAGTACACATATTCCCCAGGGCTTCCAGAACAGGAGTGTCTAATAGCCTTTCCAAGGAACCCACCCTTTTTTCTGCCACTGTCTTCCCAGATTCCCACCAGGATGGGAATGTGTTCTCATCCTAAATACTCTGCCCACTGAGCCCTGGGCCCAGGGCTCCATATTCACCCTGTCCCAGAAGCCAGCACGACCAACAGCCAGAACTGACCAACCTAGGGGCCGAGTCAGTCCACTGGGGTTGCCCTCTGTGACTCAGCAACTTCTGGGCTATAAAATGCTGAGTCAGAAATAGAGTACTTGCAAGTTAGAAACCCCGTTGACATTTCACCCCAAAAGAGGAAGAAGGCTGTCTGTGGATCCCTTTTTGCAACCCACGCAGAGTAGAGAATGTGTGTGGTCCTAACTTGGTAACTTTTTCCCCTGCCGTCCACCACCAACAAGCAGTTTTGACTTTTCCTTGACTACCTATGGTTGTCAAAGCCCACAGCAGCTGCGAGATTAGAGTCCCTGTGCCAAGTGGCTGCTGCCAAAGTGCCTGTCCCTGAAAGAACCCCGCAGCTGGACTGCCTCAAGTTCAACAAGGCCTGCCAGGAGCAAAAGGGCAGAGGATGGGTCAGAGGGAGGCCCTGGAGGCTGCCTGGGGTGGAAGCTGGAGCCCTTTGCCTGTTCTTTAACCCGCAGCTGGAGATAAAGCTAGAGGGGTAGACAGCAGCACACAGCATTGCATACAGAGAAAGGTGTCAGGTATGCATTTCAGTGGCCTCTCTCCCACTCCTCCTACAGGAGCAAACTGAAGCCCAGCAGTTGTTGCCATGCCCCAGCCCATGCGGCTAGGGAGAGATCACCTCCTCTTCCACCAGGGCAGACTCAACCCAGCCAGCTCTGATCCCAGGGATGGCCTCCCTCCTCCCTGCCACTAAAGGGCTTATCTCAAGTCTCAGCATCCAGCATGGGCCCTGGCAGTGCCTTCTGGAAAGTGGCAGAGCCAATCAGAAGTGTGGAGGGGAAAGGCTCAGTGACTAAGCCAGCAGGCAGGGCTGGCTGCCCTAACAGGGTCAGAGGTCCACCGGGAGCAGGTCACTCATGCAGGCCTAAGACCTAGCCAGGGCATCGAACTGACTCTTCTTGATGACCCCAGTGCCTTGCTCGTCATGGCCTTTCTGTTAGGGCAGAAACCCCGTCTGATGTTGCTTCCCTACCCTAGGAGGGTGCACAGCACACTTAGTAGCAATGAGTCAATTAGTTATTTTTAATTCATCCATTTAAGAATCTTCTGACAAAGAATTTTAATCATGGAATAAAATCATTGAATGGAAAAGTGTTATTCTTCCATGTACTTTAGTTTCCAAAGTACTTTCCCCACACATATTATTTCATGTGGCTACTGCACATTTGGATTAATTTTTTTATTTATTACTTTTATGTGTATGAGTAAGTACATTGCCTGCATGTACTTACTCATACAAGTACACCCGGGTCATGCAGTGCCCACAGAGGTCAGAAGAGGTTGTCAGATCCCCTGAAACTGGAGCTACAGACAGTTGTTAGCTGCCATGAGGGTGCTGGCACTCAAACGGGTCCTCTGCAAGAGCAGCCAGTTGTTCTAACCACTGAGCCATCTCCCCAGCTCCTGAATTAATCTTTTAATGATAGACTTTTAATGCCTTTTCATGCTAATCTGTATTTTACACCTCTCAGGAGTCCCATTTCTCCTTCTGGGTTCCAGGGATGGAACTTAGACCTGCCAGGCTTTCAAAGCAAATGCTTTTACCTGGTGAGCCATCTTGCTGGCCCCTCATGTGACTGTTGTAACCCGGGACAAGTTATTTACTTACCTTAGGTCTCAGTTTTCTATCTGTAAAATGGTCATAATAATGCCTACTTCATAGGACTCACATAAGGATTAAATGAAATAATCCTTATACTTTATACTGACTGCTTAGCACAGTATAAAGAAACTATTAAAATATGTAAATAAGCACAAATAATATATTTGGCCTTGACATAGTCTATGGCACGAGGATTAAAGGAGTGCAGAACACAGGGCCTCCAGCACTGATACCTCTTCTTCCCTCCTCGAGGGATTAACGGACCCAGGCTGAAGAACCATAGCTTATGTGTGGCAAGAAAGCCACCAACGCGGGTGCAAAGGAAACGTTCGGTAACACTGGCTCTCCAGCGCTGCCGAAGGCCCCGGGGGCTGAGGCCCCACGCTGGAAGGAGGCAGGCTAATGGGCTTCCCGGTGAGCCCCCACTTCCCAGGGGCGCCTGCGATGCGGATGCGGGAATCCCGCAGATCCAGTCCGGGCTGAGGAAGAGAAGGTGGCCAGGGAAGTGGACGCGCACTGGGCGGAGGGCAGAGGGACAGGGTACGGGCACGGGCCACTCCCCACCCCCGCGGCAGGGTGGTGCAAACGTTGGCCGTCGGCACCCCGGGTCGCGCAGCGCTCGGGGGACACCGGGTCCGGAGGCCCCAGCAGTGCCGGGAGCCCGGCCGCTGCTGTGTAAACAACCCCCGGCCCCCGCGGCGGTGCCAACGCCGGCCTCGGCCTCCGCGCTGCGGCTGACAGCGCCCGGCCGCCCCGCCGGCTCCCGCGCCCCTCGGGGTACCTGCGAGGCCCCCCATCGCCGCAGTCCCGGGCTGTCGGTAGACCACCGTCCAGACGAAGAAGATGGAGAAGCCGGCCAGCGAGCTGATGCCGGAGTAGGCGGCGCGGAGGCGGAGCTGCAGCCGGGACGGGGCCATGGGGCCGCGGCTTCGGGCAGCGGAGGACAGCGGAGCCCAGCGTCGCAGGTGCAGGGCCGGAGCCGGAGCCTCCGCGGGAGCCGAGCCCGAGCCCAGCCGCCCGCGCTCAGCCCCGCCCCCGGCGCCGTCCGCACAGCGCCCTCCCCGGCGGGAGGCCGCGGCCCTGAGCGTACCCCGCTCCCCGGAGCGTTGCAGGGGCCCCTTCTAGTCACTAGGTGGAGTGGCCGGGTCCCCAGACCCGCCTGTGTAGCGGGTCAGGCCAGAGGGGCTTTAGTGGGCCTGGGAATATGCTTTTACACAAGCCGGTTGCGATGCTTGCTGTTTAAATGTTAAATTTCCTCTTTGACTAGGAAGCACATTCCCATTTAAAATGGAAGATGACTAAAATGTAGATTTCTTGTTAAGATTATATAAACTGGGCGTGGTAGCGCACGCCTTTAATCCCAGCACTCGGGAGGCAGAGGCAGGCGGATGTCTGTGAGTTCAAGGCCAGCCTGGTCTACATAGTGCGTTCCCGGAGAGAGCTGGGGCTAAAGGGAGACCCTGTCTCAAAAAGCCCCGCCCCCCCCAAAAGATTATATAAACTGAGCGTGGTGGCCCACACTTGTAATCGCAGCACTTGGGAAATGGCAGAGGAGACGGAGAATTCGAGGCCATATCTGGCCTACCTAGGAAGACCCTCAGAAAAACATGAGCTGGGGAGCTGGTTCCATCCAGCACCCCAAAAGTAACTGAAACAAGAAATTGAAAACCTAAAATACACAATTAATATACTAATTCTTTCCACTCACACCCCTATCAACTGAGTTCCCGCCCCCCGGAAGTTATGCAATCTCTACACGCCTGTCACCTTCTAGCCCCAAACACCTCATTAGGAGCTTTGCTTTCATCTTCACAACCCTCAACTCCAAATCCTTTGCAAACATGCCCCAGCCTCGGCAGTCTATCTAGGGCCGAATTCCACTATGTTTGTTCCCAGGGGCCAGGTTCATGCTGGGAGCTGGCCACGAAAGTCAAAGCAGAACTCTGCTCTACCTCCATCACCCCGAGTCGGCCACCCCCTCTCCACACACGTGCACAAGATAGGTAACCAATACTCCTTGCAGTCCTTCCCTTTTGCTGGGGCAACAAATTATCTCTTATTCAGTGGTTTAAAACAACACAAATGTATTATAGTCAGGACCCCAAATGGGAGTGTGACTGGGCTAAAGGCAAGGGGACTTCAGGGCTAAACACCCCACCACCACCACCAAATAGTATCTGTTTCCCAGCTACTCCTGCTTCCAGAAGCTGCCACACAGGCTGAGGCCCACTCCTCCCAATTTCTTCTCATAAGGATTCCAGTAGTCCAGGATCATCTCCCCATCTCAGGATCCTTAACATGAGCAAAACTCCTGTGTCAGGTAAGGTGAGGATCTCACAGCTTGTAGGGATTCAGATGGGAATATCTTGGGGATCATTATTAAGAAAACTAGGTAGGAATGCTCATTTACCAAACAGGTGCTGTAAACCACATTTACCTTAAAAATAATCAGGGCAAACATCTTTAAAAAAAAAACCAAAAAACCCAAAACTGGACTGGAGAGATGGATCAGTGGTTAGCACTGGTTGCTGTTGCAGAGGACCCCAGTTCGGCCCATCACCCATATGGCAGTTCCAAGGAATCTGACACCCTCTTCTGTCCTCCATGGGCACTGCATGAAATTGATGCACTTATATACATACAGGCAAAACACTCATATATATACATAAATTTTTTTTAAATGAAATAAATTAAAAAGCCAAATGAGGGGCTGGAGAGATGGCTAAGTGGTTAAGAACACTGGTTGTTCTTGCAGAAGACCCAGGTTCAAATCCCAGCTAACAGCTGTCTGTAACTCCAGTTCCAGAGGATCAGACAGCCTCTTCTGTCCTCCATGGGTATTGCATGACACGGGTGCACTTATCTACATGCAGGCAATACACACATACACATAAAATAAAAATAATAAATAAAAAAGTTTAAAAAAAAAGCCAAATGAATCCCAATGTCACCCCTGTTTATTCAAATGTAAACATTGGCATGTTTTTGTTTGATTGGTTGTTTTTTGTTTTTTTGTTTTTGAGACAAGGTCTCCCTATAGCCCCCAGCTGGCCTGGAACTCACTATGTAGACCAGGCTGGCCTCGAACTCAGAGATCCACCTGCCTCTGCCTCCCAAGTGCTGGGATTAAAGGCGTGTGCTACCACGCCTGGCTAGGTTGGTTGGTTTTTGTTCCCTTTGAGTTTTTTTTTTTTTTATAATGTGTGTGCCTGTATTGCCTGCATGTAGGTAAATGCACCCCTGTAGTGCAATGCCCTTGGAGGACAGAAGAGGCCGTCAGGTCCCCTGGAACTGGAGTTACAGACAGTTGTTAGCTGCCATGTGGGTGCTGGGATTCCAACCTGGGTCTTCTGCAAGAACAGTCAGTGTTCTTAACTGCTGAGCCACCTCTCCAGCCCTTCCTTTTGAGTTTTGAGTCAAGATCTCACTATGTAGCCAAGGCTGGTCTTGACATAATTTTGACCCAGACTGGCTTCAAAGTCAAGGTTCCCCTGCCTCACCTCCAGATGTGCTGGAGTTACAGGTGTGTGCTACCATACCTGACTTGGGGTATATTTTTAACAAAGAATGATTTTAATGCTCAAGTTCAATTCAACCCTCCAGTAGGAGCTGCTTGTGGAGCATATGAGCTGGTTGAATTCTGAGAAGCTCTGTGGTCCAGACCCCATCATCATAGATGGCCTCAGAGCAGGCCAGGATGGACAATACTCTAGGAAGAAGAAATAATTCTAGCCCTGAGGGAGGAATGCACAATGGCCTGTTCCAGAAACAGTAACTAGTTTTTTGTGACTGGACTGTTGGGTTTGAGGGGGTGTAATGAGTTTTGAGCTTGGAAAGGCTCTGAATATTCAGGGCCTTGCATCATTTGCAAAGAAGGCTGCCCCTCCACCCCAGCCAGGAATAGGTGTTCTGTGCTCTCAAAATATGGCCCAGTAATACTGTGAGGGTGGACTGCCTGCCACAGAAAAGAAGCTGTGAGACCAGTTGAACAAGTCCATCCCTTTCCAATGCAATAGTTTCTGTGTCTGAAAATAGAGACAAGACAGCAGTGATACCCACTTCAAAGATGTTTGAGGAGTAGTCCGTGCTTAGAAGACTGCCTGGTAGATCACGAGTCTGCAGTAAAAGCCAGAAAGTGTAATTAGTAATAGCCAGAGGTTGCCATGGCAAGAGCTGGTTCAGGACAGACATAAGGGAAAGAAGTACCTGAGCCCAGAGATATGTAAGCCATCTTAACCTAAAGGTCGGGTGTTAATTCATTAGCTGGACAGGCAGAAAGGAGGAGAGAAAAAAGTATTGTCATTATTGGAGGGTGGTGAGCACCCTGATGCTGAGAGTGAGATTGTGCAAGAAAATATCGAGAAAGAATTATGTAAGAGTAGCGTGGGCCCAGGTCGTACAGAAAGGGCAAGGCTAAGCTGAATTTTTATTTTTAAAGAAAAGTGTGGAAAGAGTAAGGAGCTAGCTATTGAAAGACTGGAGACCCTGATAGGCTCAGAGGTCTAATTTAATGGTTTACAGGGTAGGTTTCCCTAACTCAAAGTGGTCCAACAGAACTTTCTGCCACAAAGAAAACAGTCATATCTGTGCTCTGTAATGGGAGCCTCTGGTTATATGTGGCCTTTGAGTGTTTGATATGTGATAGTTCAACTGAATTTTTACTTATATTTAATTAATTTTAGTTAAAATAACTGCATATCACCAAGTGGTCACAATATTAGACAGCACAGCTTGAAACACTCTGGACTCCTCTTCCTCCATGTGTTTAAAGGGAACCATCATACCTCACAGGCCTGTCAGAAACATTGTGATACAGCGGTTAAGGAGCTCAACCCAGCAGCAATTCAGCATGTGACTAATGCTGTGGTTGATATTGTTTATTGTCATTGTTATACAGGGGTCATATGAGATGAGCTATGCCTAAGAAGGTAAGTTAAATGGTCACATCTAGATTGCAGTTGATGGGAAAGAGACTTCTTATAGAGGAGAAAGCACCATGGGGATAAAATGTGGGATAATGAAGATCTATTTTGGAGAAAGCCCATGGGAATAAAAAAGAAAGAAGGCCTGTGCAGCCTCAGAGCTCACAGGTGTGTAGCACACATATATCTTCCCTCATCAGATTCCTTTATTTTTCTCAGAAAGTATTATCCCATCCCAACCAGGACAGATGCCCCGGTCCCCTATGAGACAGGCCATCACTGTCCCTGACTGCAGCAGAGACCACCAATAACTGTATCTCTTCTCTGGAGATACTAAATGTGAACTCCGCTTCCCAGCTTACTTGAGTCGAATCAATGCCATTGGATCGGGTTTGGAGCAATGGAGTAACGGCAGAAACAGTGCATACCATTTCTAGGTGGGCCTCACGGAGATCTCCCACATGTAACCTAACTTCCCTCCTTCCACTGTGATGATTCCAAAGGCTCTCTCTTAGGACACATGATGGAAAGAGCATGGGGGCCTGGAGTGAATGAATGGGACAGAGGTGCCTCCTCTGTCCCTCCAGCTCCCCAGATCCTCACCGGAGTGTAAGAGTGAGTGTGTGATGCACTCCCATCACTGTGGGGATGGTTTGTTACCTCCAGCCTTATCATCTTAATGTGCTATCTCATTCCACTTCAGGTTTTGTAAAGCAGCTATATATAGAAAACTTGTCGGAACCACCGATCTCTCTGAAGTCACTTCTGAACTAGGCCTATCAGTGTTAGTAACTCCCTTCTGCAGGCATCCTGCCTCCTAAGAAATTCCTTCCTCACTCCCCTAAAAAGGCACATTCCAGACATTTTTCTTCTTCCATAGTGCTAGGTCAAGGATCCACTCACTGAGCTATCTTCCAGATGATTGAGTTTATTGGTCTTCTAAGGGCTTCCCCTCTCTTCTTAATCCCACACAGTGGAACCTGTGAGGTTTCCTGGGGCACATCCTTGTTTACTGTGGCTCCAGACATAAATCTAGGTGTTATTCCTGAGTCTTCCTTAACAAATTCACTTGGACCTACCCTGCTCTCTGCCTCCATCCCCAGTACCACCCTCATCCAG